CCTCCCTCCCTCCCTCCCTCCCTCTTTCTTTCTTCCTTCCTTCCTTCCTTCCTTCCTTCCTTCCTTTCTTTCTTTCTTTCTTTCTTTCTTTCTTCCTTCCTTCCTTCCTTCTTCCTTCCTACCATTTCTTGTTTATAAGGGTTTTTTTGATCGATTTTAATTTTTGTTTGTTGTTTTCCTTTTTTTTTGATAGAGAGATGGAGTTGGGAGAAAGGATGGGAAAGAGCATGAAGTTGAGTGAGTACTGAGGTGGGGAAGAGTTGGGAGAGTGGAAATAATAAAATCAAGATATATGAAACTATCAAATAAAATTTTAAAGAAAGAAAGGGGTAAAGGAAAGAGAATGGAGAAAGTAAACTGAGTAATTTTGGTTTTAAAATGTATACATATCTGTATAAAATTTTTGAGGATGAAATTTAAATCAAGATTTATCTACAAAATAAACTGTGGCTTAAAATTTTTAGCATGTGTTTATTTAATGTCAATGTTTTCTTTGCAGTAATAGTACATGATATTATGAATTCTATTTAATTGCAAACCATTAAAGTGGTTTACATGAAGTGGTTTATATGTTGGATATTTTCCAAACACATACTTTTTTCAGTATTTTTGTGCATAGTGTGTAACAAAGTAAATTACATATAGTCTAGTAAATGATTTGATGCGTCACTCACTCAATAGTGCACTAAAGAGTTAAAAAGGCAGCAGATTTCTACCTTTCTCTTTAGGTGCTTTGTAAATGCGTACATATAATGGCACCAATCAGATTTCATTACGCTTAACACATATTTGGTCTTGAGCATGTCTCACTCATAATCTGGAATATAGGTGCTTATTCTCACTGCCATACAGTTCAGAACTTATGTTCTACATGATAACAATAAATGTGTACCAAATAAACTGGAGGAATTCACATGAACCACGATAATGGATAATTTCTCAGTGTTAAGCTCACTGTATATTTATACATAATTAGAGTAAGGATATATTCTATTCTGAGCATCAGTACCTATTTTGAGTACAAAAAAGTGAAGCAAAGCCACACAAAATATTCATGTATAAAAGTTTAAATAGGGTACTTTAAAAGTGGAGGTATGTTAAAATAGTTAAGAGAACATTTCGGAAATGGAAACAACATGAGTAAAGAAATGGGCAAAGATCCAGAAAATGATGTGAAATATTGAAACATGCAGAATAGTAAAATGCACACTGGAAAGAGAGAGAAAACTCAGAAGAAATCACTGATCTACAGAAACAGTTAGGAACTTTCGTCCAGTGTACATGGAATATTACCCAAGGTAGATGATGTTTGGGGTTACAAATCACTTCTCAACATGAATAAAGTGATTACAATCATTACAAGTTCCTTCTTCAAAGTATAACATCCTGGCTCCTGCAGCTGCTCAGACCCAAGTAAACACACAGAGACTTATATTACTTATAAACTGTATGGCTGTGGCAAGCTTCTTGCTATCTAGTTCTTATATCTTAAATTAACCCATTTCTATACATTGCCATGTGGCTTGTAGCTTACCAGTATCCTTACATCTTGCTTCTCATGGTGGCGGTGACTGCAGCATCTTCTGACTCAGCCTTCCACTTCCCAGCATTCTCCTCTCTGCTTATCCCACCTACACTATACTTCCTGCCTGGCTACTGGCCAATCAGCATTTTATTTATCAATCAATCAGAGCAACACATTGACAGCATGCAGAAAGACATCCCCAGCACATGGGAATGAAATAAACATGTAAAGAACCAGCTATCCAAATATTAAGCCACTTAGGAAATCAGATTATGCACAGAGCAAGAATATGCAAATACAGTGGAGCAAGGTTTAATCATCCTGAGTGAGGTAACCCAGACTCAGAAAGACAAACATGGTATGTACTTACTCATAGGAGGATACTAGATGTAAAACAAAGATCACTAGACTGCTACTCACAACTCCCGGGAGGCTACCTAGAAAACAGGACCCCAAGAAAGACACAGGGAT